TGTGTGTGTGTGGTGATACCTCATAGATATCATCCCTCATCCACTCATTTGGTCCCCACCTATGGCCATCAGGACTTCTCATGGGCCTTTCTCTGTTCATTGGGACTCAGGCTGACTTGTTTGTGAATAGTTGAAGGCAGAGGCTTGTCCTGTATCTGGATCAAAGGACTTCTCAATATATTGAATTTGTAGTACCTTTTTATTTTAATTCATGTTTTGTTTCATGTCTCAGATTTCCATTGTATTTCTTTTTAACACCCTTCGTTTTCCTTACTTTTTTAACTTATGCACATCTGCTGTTTGTACAAGTAAAAGTAATAAACATGTCAAAATGATTACTTTTGTTTTCCTTGGTCTCTGTTCTCTATTTGGCTTAAAGTTTTGGAATACCAACTTGCAGACAAGTAGGGATTATAGAATCATGTAAATGTGGTTGTACAGTCTGTATTTTCATTTTTATTTTTTAATTTTTTTGGGGGGGTCCAGTCATGGGGCCTGGGCGCTGTCCCTCAGCTCTTCAGCTCAAGGCTAGCACTCTACCACTTGAGCCACAGCGCCACTTCTGGCTTTTTTCTTATGTGGTGCTGAGGAATCAAACCCAGGGCCTCGAGCATGCAAGGCAAGTGCTCTACCACTGAGCCACCTTCCCAGCTGCAGTCTGTATTTTTATATGGATATTATATCTTTTTCTGAGGTAGTATAAAAGATGTGGAATGTTATCTTATTTGTAAACAACAACAAAAGCTGTGAAGCCATTAGTCATTTCTCCTTTTTTTGCCTTACTGGAATTAAAACAATTTTTTTCTTATTAGTTTGGATTAGTTGTAAAGGAGAGGATTTCACTGTTACAGTTCAATACAAATGTGAACAACGGCTGGGAATGTGGCTTAGTGGTAGAGTGCTTGCCTAGCACACATCAAGCCCTGGGTTCGATTCCTCATTACCACATAAACAGAAAAAGCCAGAAGCGGTGCTATGGCTTAAATGGTAGAGTGCTAGCCTTGAGCACAGAAAGGCTCAAGGACAGAGCCTAGGCCCTGAGTTCAAGCCCAGGACTGGCACAAAAAAGGGGCAGGACTAAATTTGGTCCTGAACAATTTCTTCCGGTGTGATTGCCATCATTCTGCTTGGTATAGAATGGCACAGCTGTTAGCCAACTGCGTCATTGGTGTGGCCTTAGTTGTGAGTACAGCAGCATCAGCCGCTGCTTTCTGTGGCCTGTGCTGTTCTGAGTGTCCAGATCTCAGCTCTGTGACCTGGCTCTCCCCGGGAGGCTAGAGCCCACTTCTCATGGTGGCTGAGTAAAGAAACCCCCATCTGGCCTTGGGTAGGACTTGAAGAACTCAGTAGTGTTCTCTGTGATCATCTTCTCTTACAGTTACACACACCAGGACCACAACAGAAGTTGAAATCACAAGTAAAGGATATTAATTTAACCTTGGAGAGAGCGTCTCTCTGGACAAGCTGAAATGATCAGGAAAAGTTTAAGGGTTACTTCTGAGCACAGACCAAGAGGGAAAGCTGTGAGTAATTTAATGCAACAGGAACTCAGACATACAACTGTAAAGCAGAAACTGAATTTCCCCATGGATTGGCCAGATGAGCCCCGAAACTGGCACCCACTCTGCTCCATGCTGGGCAGCAGGACAGTGGGACATTTGCTCTCTATGTCCACTTTGGTAAACAACCCTCTTTCTGAGGGACCTCAGTCACTTGTTCCCCTGATGCTAATATCCTTGCTCAAGTTGACTGTGACCATTTTCTCTCTGTGGAGCTGCTGTTATGATTCAGTATCTAGCACTGAATTACTCAATGGAACTCTGAGCCCCAGATCACACTGTTCCTGAAGCACATCACCGTCCACATGTGTCTCTCTAATGGGGTCATGGGCCCAGGATGTGTGCCACTCTGTCCACCCTGGGAAAAGCAATCTGATGGGACCTATGTCCCTACATCAGGGCCAGGGAACACAGACACATCGGAACAACATTAGGATTGTGCTGGTGGCCTTCTCAGTCCTTCCTTGAGAACTGGGTCAGAGATGCGCTAAGACGCAGCATCTGCACCTTCCTAAGTGCCAACTCCTATTTCCACAGCAGCTCAAGAACTCAGCAGAGGCAGGAAGCTAAGCTGCCCCAACAGGAGCCTCACTGTATGGAGATGGAGCTTTCTTTCCATTAGCTGTGGCCTTTCCAAAGTGAGCAGCCTTGGCTGTGGCTGCCTGTGGTTTAACTGCCTTTATTCTCTCTTCTCAGACCCCAGCAGTGCTTTTGCAGCCCCAACCTGTAGGGTTTGGTTTGAACGTGGGCGTTTTCCAGGAAACTAGCACATTTGTAAGAGAAGACTAAGAAGATAAAACACAGCGGCCTGTCCCCTTCCCTCACCCCTACACCACCAGTTTTTTTTCTCTCTCTCTTCCCACCTCTGTCTCTTGTCTCTATCTTGTCTCTGTCTCTCTGTCTGTCTCTCCACTCTCCCTCCCCCTCTCTCTGTCTCTCTCTCCCTCCTTCTCTCTGTCTTTCTGTCTCTTGTCTCTCTGTCTCTCTCTGTCTCTGTCTCCATCTCTCTCTATGGTGCTGAAATTTAATCCAGGTGGACTGGGGGCAGGAAGGTGCCAGAAAGTTTGAAACCACAAGAGACGTTTCTTAGAGTTGGTGATAACAGCCTCACAAAAGCTCTTGGTGACCAATAATTATCTTTTCTGGGATTCTAAACGAACCCGTTTCACAGAAGCTGAAGCTAACTGTAAAGACACAAACAGATAAAAACCTTCCCAATGTTAAACAAGACTTATTTATTTATTATTGTGAAAATACCATACAGAGGGGTTACAATTACATGGGCAAGGTAGTGAGTACATTTCTTATCAATCATTGTTGCCTCCTTCTTTGTTTCCCTTTCCCATCCCTTCCAATTTCCTGTCCACCCTACCCCCCACCCCCGCGCGCAGCCCCGGCCAAAGTTGTAAAGTTCGTTTCTCGACATAACGACTTGTACATCTCATTGTTGCAATGGGTCCACCTGTATCTCTATTTAAACAATTTGTACCAAGACACTTTTAAATTGGCATATATAAAAGTGATTTACTTTACAGGATTCACTGAGTGGAAAAATTCTACACTTTTTTTTTTTTGGTTGTGGGGCTTGAACTCAGGGCCTGACCACTGTCACTGGGCCTCTTTGTGCGCAAGGCTAGTGCTCTACCACTTTAGCCACAGCGCCGCCTCCAGGTTCTGAGTGGTTAATTGGAGGTAAGAGTGTCATGGGGACTTTGCTAACCAGGCTGGCTTCAAACCGTGGTCCTCAGATCTCAACCTCCTGAGTAACTAGGATTACAGGCATGAGCCACCGGCGCCCAGATGAATTTTACACTTTTGTTGGTGTTCTTATTGTACATGGAACAGTGTGTTGCCTATCTGCAGAGATGCAGACAAACAATTGCCATACTTGTTTCTATTATTATTCAATAAAAGTGTTCATAAGAGATGAGCAATACTGGAAAGAAATGTAAATATCCTTTGAACACATGACCTCATAAGAGGTCATAAGAGAAATGCAAATGAAATCTACAATGGGATGCTCTTTTTCACTGATAAAAAACCCTAATGTTCATAAAGCCCACTCTGGAAATCTACTTGTATCAAAACAGAAGAACAAAATCAGGCTCCTGTGAAGGACATTGCCTGTTAACATTGCATATAAAAATGAGTTGTGTATACCTCAAAAACTCTAATAATTTACTAACTTAAACATCTTTATAGTAACAACAGAAACTAGAAATAAGCCAAGGATTTACTAGAGAAAATTTTATTAATAAAATATTTTCAGTATATCAGGAACATAATCTCTTAGTTGTTTAAAAGCCCTTGTACACCTTAGCTCTGCAATTTATAAATGACAACAGAATAGTGCAAATTGCATCCTATCTTGTTTAAGAAGAGAAAGTGACTAGGTAAGAGTTGATGCAGGTACATTCATAGTGACATAAAAGTAGCAACATCCTCCACTTTTTCTATTTTTATTGAGTATTTTAGTTACATTCAGGTAGTTCAGTGTAGTTTTATGGTGAATGGACATCCTTGCTTATATGCGCAAATAGGAGGTACGGGAGGTAGAGGCGAGGCCCTAGCTTTAAGCTATGTCCATTATCTAAACAATACTGGTCTCAGTAGGTTTCTTAATTTTTCCCATCTATAAACTGTGGGTGATTATTGCACCGACTTGGAAGGGCTCTTAGGAGACCGTGAGCTCACAGGTATGTGAGCTAAGTAAATCCTTGTTGCAAAGAACCTGGTACAGTTATCATGGTGCTTCTGTGCTTATGGGATTAAGGTGTCCCCCAATAATAACGTGGAGTCAGGAGTCTTTGTCAGCATCTGGGACACTCCCTCACCCAACGTTATCCCCTAGGGAAGGGGGCGTTCTAACTTCATCTTCCAGAATAAATTCAATTCACTAAACCACTAAAAGCCAAGCCCTGCGGGCCCAGAATCCATGAGCTCAGCATCTCCATCTGGCTATAACTCTGGATCTGAGGTTAGTCAAGCTCTGGGGACATGGTGAGGATCAGGAAACATAATGCTGTGAAACACCAGAACAGAGTGGAACAAACACATTAAGAGTCGCATGAGAGGATTTCCTGTTGTCATCAGAATGTCTCAACCAAAATTGCCTTGAATCTGGTGACCTTTGAAAGAACGGCAGTGTGGCCATCTGCAGTACCTGTGGCTCCCCTACCACCCAGCACCCCAGGAAATGTGGTAAACACCATTTCAGGGACATAATTAGAATATGGTGCTGAACCCTGACATCACCTTTCAGTTATCATGCTGTTTCTCTCTCAGACTCAACAATTCACTTACGTCCAATGAAAAGCACACATGGACAAAAGACTTTTGATATTCATATTTATTGTGTCTCTTCCAGAACAAAGCATAGAATTCAACTAGCAGAGAAACATTTCAGAATATACAGAGGCTTTGAGGATGTGATCTTGCCAAAGGGCAGCAAAAGCCAGCTCTAGAAGCTGCAAGCTAAGCCCAGGAGGACTTGAGGTGTTTTGGGATACTGGAGAGGCTGCTGGTAGCTATGGAGCCAGGTGCCACGTGGGGTACTCCTTGTGGCAGAGTGAAGTTGCCTGGTTTATCTACTGACTTGAAAACTCATGCAATAATGACTGAGTGATGAGCATGCCACCTTAGGAGGCAGCAAGCTCAGCTACATCCTTAGCACAGACCATGGGACCATGACTGCTGATCCCTCATGATGTCTTCCCATCATCACAGACAGCTGTTCTTCTAACCAGACGGACGGCGACAATGGCCAAGTGGATGGTACTCTTGATGAGCAGGAGGAGGTAGGTGTAGCAGGCACAGGTGTTTGTGAGCTGCTGCTGAAACACATCTAAGAAAAGCCATGAATTATTTTCACAGGTCTTGACAGCCCTGGACACAATACTGGGGAGAAGGTCCCAGGAACATATTCCGGAAGACATCTGCACCCAGTTGAAGTGTCAACATCATGTCAGACAGCTCAGCTCCTGAGTGAATATGATTAACAACCTCTGTGCAATTAATTTAGAACCTTTCATTTAAAAAAATGAAAGAAGTGGCCCTTCAGAGCATGTAGTGCACTAGCTGTACAGGGACAGCATCTAGGTCCTGAGTTCAAGCCCCATGACTGACAATAAAAATGAGGCTGCATTTGTGATGGGCGATTCCACTTGGGGAAACATTCATTTGGGAGAACTAGGTTTTAGCATTCCTTCACTCCCAATGTGTTTCCAAGTAATAACAGTAGTGAACCCTTAACCAAATGTCAAATCTTCATAGGTAAAGCTTTGATTTTGTTTACTGTGGAAATTCCATCTTACAGAGATCTGTCTGTTTTTGCCAGTCCTGGGGCTTGAACTCAGAGCCTGGGCTCTGTCCCTGAGCTTCTTTACTTTTAAGGCTAGTGCTCTACTACTTGAGCCACAGTACTAACTCCAGCTTTCTATGAATAGTTGTATTGGAGATAAGAGTCTCATGGACTTTCCTGCATGGCCTGGCTTCAAACCATGATCCTCAGATCTCAGCCTCCTGAGTATCTAGGATTATAGGCATGCGCCCCTGGTACCCAGCCCATTGAAGCTGAAATCTGAGGATCTTGGTTCAAAGCCACCAGAAAACCAGAAGTGGAGCTGTTGCTCAAAGGCGTAGAGAGCTAGCCTTGAGCAAAAGAGCTCAGGGACAGCTCCCAGGCCTTGAGTTTAAACCCTAAGATCGTCCAAAAAAAATGATACATTGGGTACAAAAGTCTCTCAAGAGATGCAGTCACAACTCCTGCCATTGGTCACAGCAGATTTAAGCTCCTTTTTACTGGAAATGGAGCCTGAAGCTCACAGTCTCATGGACATATGAAACAGGTTAGATAGCAGCATGTTTGATGCTAATGCTTCAAGACACATACTTCCACTGTGCCTGCTGAGTGAGACATCCTACTAGACACTTCGCATTTGTGCCCCCACCTCTTCAATGACTGGGAGTTTGGGGTCCTTGTGCTGGGTGTGCAGATGGCAAGAAGGGTTGCAGAACAGAATTCAGCCACTTGTGGGCACATCCTGATCATTATGAACCCTGTCCAGTGTGTGGTTCTTTGAAGCCGATGCACCTCCCCACCCGAAACAGCCATCTGTCATGGCTCAGGACCTTGGCTTGAGAATTTCTGGCTCTGTGATCATGTCTTAGAATAGAATCATAATGTTTGGTGACTTTGATCAAGATGCACTGTATTCATAAACTGTTTTGTTGAAGGGCAACTCCTTTGTACAACTACTTAAAATAGTAAAAACGAATATTAATAGGAATTGAACAGAAATCGAGTAAGAATTGAAAGAATAAAAATAGAAAATTGATGGCTCCATGTGGTCATCATATGAACGGGATTTAGAAAGTAATTGCATACTTTCTGTGTTAAAAATATTCACTCAATGCTATTTCATGGCAATACCAATTAGATAAAAGACTTAAAAAGAATCTCTCTTGTAAATTTTTAAATCAAGAATTAACTTGCTCTCACACTTTCTTCAGTCAGTGGAAACAATAGATATGTAAATAAATGGAGTGTCTCCATTGAATTAGTTTAAGGTCCATAATTGTCCACCCTTATTAAAGTCATCACAGACCTAAACTAGTGTTTTACCCAGATGGTAATGTATTCAGTTAAAAATTCACTCAAGTCTGTTCTGTAACTTCCAGCTGTGCTGATTTTTCCAACCTAGCCAAGGAAATTCAAATGTTAAGATGATCAAGAGGAGAAATATGCTGGGGTATGACAAAGATCAACATGCGGCAAAACTTACCATTTTCATCTTTCACACAAGCTACAGAATTAGAAGTGGTGGAAGCTAGAAGAAATGAATGCAAACACTCGTCAATTATTCATATTTAGTATTTGACTCATGTGTGTGTGCGTGCGTGCGTGTGTGTGTGTGTGTGTGTGTGTGTGTGTGTATATATATAAATACATAGTCCCCAGAGAGGCAGGAGATTTCAGAAAATACCACTCATATATTACATTTCTGCACTTAGAGAGGTAGAAATTCATGAAAGATACACTAATCTTGTTTTATTGACTCAATTGTAGTGTAATGTGGCTTGATTTCACACTTTCTTCAGTCAGTAGAAACAATAGACATATGAATAAGTGGAGTATCTCTATTGAATTAGTTTAAGGCCCATAATTGTTCACCATAGAGTAAAATGGCCGGGTACTAGTGGCTCACACCTGTAATCCTAGCTATTCAGGAGGCTGAGATCTAGGACTCAGAGTTCAAAGCCAGCCCTGGCAGGAAAGTCCATGGGACTCTTATCTCCAATTAACCACCAGAAAACTAGAAGTGGAGATGTGGCTCAAAGTGGTAGAGTGTTAGCCTTGAGCAAAAAGAGCTTAGGGACAGTGCTCAAGCCCAGCGTTCAAGCCTCACAACCTACCAAAAAATAAAAAGTAAAGTAACTGACTTGCTGGCTGATTTTACATTTAATCCATATAATAACCCCCCCCCCCGTCTCACAAATCCTATGGTCTTAATATTTTGAATGATATACATAAAAACTTTAAATCTCACAACTTTTTATTTTCTTCAAACCCTCAGACATTTTAAATAGATAGGGGAAATATCACCGTATTTATCCTACCACCCACTGCAATGACATTTTCAAAGGATTGGTATTCTTTTTCATGAACACATAATAGAAAATATAGAGTAGTCTCTTTCAAACAAGTTTTCTGGAAGGTACTATTATGTTAGTGTAGCATACCTTTCTTTATTGGAGGAAACAAAATCTCTTGATCAACCCCTCTTAAGTTATTCTCATGTTTGACGATACATCTGTGTTCTTTAATCATTGCCTGTCCACTCACAGTTAGCCAGCTAAACTGCATGTATGTATCATCTGTCTTCATTGGATTTCCTTGCTGGGATTCCAAAATTTTATTGTCATCCTTTTCTTTCCAATATATCTTGATAACATCAGGGAAAAACTTCTCAAGAAGACAAAGATACGTGCCAGCCTTATAGAGATTTGTTTCCGCAACCGAAGGAAGAAAAATAGTTGGTTTGGGGGAAATGTCTGCTTGAAGGGTTTTCTCTGTGGAGGAAATGGAATACTTAGATAGTAATTAGTAGAATTACTAGATAAACCGAATAGTGTGTGTTCTGGAATAACCTAGCACATACCAATAGAAAGAGAAGATGCCTTTGAAATAGTGCCTGGCATCCCCGATAGGTCGCAAGGTGATTATTATTGTCCCTACTTTATACATGTGCCAGAAGTGTCAAGAAATTAAATTCCAAACATCTCAGCTTGTAAGATACAGAGCCCAGTGGCAAAACTTGACTTTGTTTTTCCTTTCCACACTAAGGTAGAGTTTGATTTTACACCAATGGTTCCAACCTTCACAAACACTTTCATCTTTTAAAAATCCCCTTTTCAAAAAGTAGAGCATGTTAACTAGCGAGAGAAGGGAAAGAGAACAGCCAAGTTTCTCTACAGATGAGGATCTCTGGTTCCTTCTAACCTACTTCCCCTGCCCTCCTTTAGTCCTGCATGCTCTCTGACCAAGGAACTTGCATTCTGCCGCTCTGGAATTATGTGCGAGTCCTCTTCATGTAGCTGATTTACCATCTTTGTGTTATTCCTTGTAGGAATCAATGTCAGCCGACTGGCAGCCATTTTTGCTTGTAACTATATGAAGTCCCCCATTTTCACAGGACTCTATATCCATGAGTACTTGAAATCTATGAGGTTGATATTTTGGTTGTCAATGTGCAAGCCCAGGCCCAGTTTGGAAGTTCCTAGAGTTTTCCTAGTTACTCCATGTCTTTACACAATTCCTCACTCTACCCTCTGAACAACTCCAGGTTTGAGTGTTGGGTAATAGTGAAAGCTAAAGGTCCAAATTATCAGTATCTTCAGTTGAAAAGCAAAACAACTTTCCCCCAGCTTCTATTAAAACTTGCACTGAAGCTTTTGTTCGCCATCGTGGTTACTGTGTCTGCCTGAGCTTCTCACCATGTCTTCTCACAAAGACATTCAGAATCAAGCCGCATCTGGCCAAGAAACAAAAGCAAAATTTCCCCATTCCCCCATGGTTTCAGATGAAGACTGGTAACAAACCAGTTACAACTCCAAGAGAAGACACTAGAGGAGAACCAGGCGGGGTCTGAAAGGAATTTCACCAGATGCCCACATATTTATGTTCTACCATGAACCCATCAAGCTAAAACGTCAATACTGCCTAGACTGACTGACTGCGTCACCTTCCCAGCCCCCAGTTGGGCATTTTTTCAACTGAGTTTTCTTTGATTACTTTAAGAATGAGCACAGTAATAAATATGTGAAACATTACAAAAAAAAAACAAACACCTTGCACTGATTATTTTGAAAAAGGTACTGTTGTTAAGTGAACCATTTATTATGCTAATCAAAAGTTTATTTTGGGGGCTGAGAAGGTAGCTCAGTGGTAGAGCTCTTGCCTTGCATGCATGAGGCCCTGGGTTTGATTCCTCAGCACCACATAACCAGAAAAAAAATGAAAGTGGCGCTGTGGCTCAAGTGGTAGAGCACTAGACTTGAGCTGAAGAGCTCAGGGACAGCGCCCAGGCCCAGAGTTCAGACCTCACGACTGACCAAAAAAAAAAAAAGTTTATTTTGGTATAGAAAATGTTTTCCTAGTCAACCATTTTCTTTTGGAATGTCATTTGAAGTTCAAGGATGACTAAGAATACAACTGGATATTTTGTTGTATTTTAATATGAGTTGCTTTGATTTTTTAGAACTAGAGTTCTTATGTATCTGCATATCAACTTTTGCTTCTCTGTGTCTGTTTCAAAATTAGTTATATTAATTGTACTTATATGTACCTAACTGTCTTGGAACTTCTTAATGCTTCTATCTTACCCTGCTAGTTAAAGTCTGTGTGTACTTTATGTAATAACATTTATGGTTTCAAAGTTTCTCTCATATTAGCAAGCATTGAATGTCTATAAAGACATACTACCTGTGGGTGTCAGTGGCTCACGCCTGTAATCCTAGCTACTCAGGAGGCTGAGATCTGCTGATTGTGGTTAAAAGCCAGCCCAGGCAGGAAAGACTGTGAGACTCTTATCTCCAGTAAACCACTAGAAAACTGAGCTATGGCTCAAGTGGTAGAGCACTAGCCTTTGAGCTGAAGAGCTGAGGGACAGTTCCCAGGCCTGGAGTTCAAGCTCCAAGACCAACAACAACAACAAAAAGGACATATCACTTATACCCGGATATGCATTTTTAGAAATATAATTTAGTTTAATAACCAAAAGCACAAGAGTGCTTTTTAATTTCTTTTCCTACTGAAACTTAAATGCTTTGCTAACATTCTTTGGGCTAGTCTGAGGTGCTTAGACTAATTTGACCGGTAATTTCTCAGGAAAAGGATTAGGTTTCTCATTTGATCAGAAAAGAATAAAGTTTTTAGTTTCTGTCTATATAACAAATCTCTTAGCTTTTGTGTAAAAAGAGCAAGCATGTAATGTTAATATATTGAGCACACTACTAATAAAATTGAATCATTTTATGCTAATTTATTTTCATATTCTTGTATTTCATGAGCAAAACAAGATACTATATAGCTATATCTAAATATCTCTAACCATGTATGTACTTTAAGTATGTTGTAAAAGGCAATGTTAAATAGTCAGTTCTTCATTATATTTATATGATTTGCATCTTGATTCCACATATTAATACATCTAATTTTCATCTTAGGAGCTTGTGTTTTTTCACAATGAATACTTCTCATGTATCACAATCAGAAACTGAAAATCAGTTGATAAACTTAGTAAATGTTGTTAGGGAATCACATTACTCATTGCTGCCTGTCTCTTTCCTTAGACAGGTTCCTTAACTTTCGTGCTGTTGAAGATGGAATGAATCTTGGACTTCTTATTTTCTTACTTTAATAGTACATAGTACATTTTATGTAAATAATAAATAGCACATTTTATTAAATGCTAACTACTTTTAATCTGTTTGAAGATATAATCCTACGCAACCTTTTCTTTTTTTTTTTTTTTTT